CTAAATTCCTCCTATCACCAACAGACCAATGACCTGTGTGAGCTCTTCAATGGCACGTTGAAGCATATGCTCTGTACCTTTTCAGTGACTCGCAAGGATTGGGAGAGGTTCCTGCTGCATCTCCTTTTCGCATATGGGGACAGGGCCGTCTTTAACGTGGGGCAAACGGGGCAGCTGCCCCGGGCCCAGTTGCTCCTGGGGGCCCAGAGCAGCTGCTCTGTGGGCCCGTGATTTGCGCAGCCCCTATGGACCGGGCGGTGCGGTTCCCGCACACTGAGGAGGCTCCCCAGGTGGCCCATGCACTAAGGGTCACCCGGGGAGCATGTGTCAGCAGGGGCCCGGTCGGGCGCTGTGGCGCTTAAACAGCGCGACCGGGCCACTCTTCCGGTTCTGCAGCCAGCTGGGAGGAAGTGACGTCACTTCCTCCCACCGGAGATAATGGCCACGCGGAAGGAGGAAGGCAGGGAGGAGGGGAGTTCCAGAGGAGAACTCCCATCTGCCTCAGCCTGCCACTGGACCAGGGAAACCACCCTCCAGGAAAAGGTAAGAACCTGGAGGGTGGCTAAATGTATGTCAGTAGGTCTGTGTGTATATGTCTGTGTGTGTATGTCAGTGTGTGTGTGTGTGTCAGTATGTCTGTGTGTGTATGTGTCAGTATGTCTGTGTGTATGCCAGTATGTCTGTGTGTGTGTATGTAGGTATGTCTCTGTGTTTGTGTGTGTATGTGTGTGTCAGTATATCTGCCAGGATATATTTGTGTGTCAGTGTATGTGTGTGTCAGTATGTATCTGTGAATGTTTTAATGTCTGTCTGTGTGTATGTGCCAGTACGTCTGTCTGTGTGTATGTCAGTATGTCTGTGTGTGTGTGTCAGCATGTCTTTGTGTGTCAGTATGTCTGTGTGTATGTATGTCTGTGTGTGTATGTGTGTGTCAGTCAGTATGTTTGTCAGTGTATGTATGTATGTCTGTGTGTGTGTGTGTGTCAGTATGTCTGCCAGGATATATTTGTATGTCAGTGTATGTGTGTGTCAGTATATATCTGTGAATGTTTTAATGTCTGTCTGTATCAGCCATTACGTCTGTCTGTGTATATGTCAGTATGCCTGTGTGTGTGTGTATATGTCAGTATGCCTGTGTGTGTGTGTCAATGTGTCTGTCAGTGTATGTGTCTGTGTGTTTTAGTATATCTGTCAGTTTATGTGTTTGTGTGTGTGTCAGTATTTCTGTTAATGTATGTGTCTGTGTATGTATGTATGTCTGTGTGTGTGTCAGTATGTCTGCCAGTATATATTTGTGTGTAGTGACTTTGTGTGTCAGTATGTATCTGTGAATGTTTTAATGTCTGTCTGTGTGTGTATGTGCCAGTACGTCTGTCAGTGTGATTGCGGGTTGGACGTAATTGTGGGGTGAGGCAGTGGCAGGGACAGGGCCCATGGGGCCCAAGAAAATGCATTGCCCAGGGTCCTAATCATATTATAGACAGCCCTGTATGGGGAGGTGCCTAGGGAATCCACAGCATTCTCTCTGTTTGAATCAATGTTCAGACGGAGGGTGAGGGAATCCCTAGCCGTCTTTAAGGAGGGGCAAAAGGGGCAGCTGCCCCGGGCCCAGTTACTCCTGGGGGCCCTAAGGCAGCTGCCCCATGGGCCCCCTGCAGCACCTGAGGTAATCAGGGGCCACAGCCCTTTAATACTGCTCTGGACTGGCCCGGGCCCCTGTTATATGGGGGGTGGCTGACCAGTGGCGGCTCTAGACTTGGCGAGGCCTTAGGCGAAACTCATACATGAGGCCCCCACTAACACCATTATTGGAAAAAAACAGCAGTTGACTTGTGTGTGTATAAGAAGCTGTAGATATATTGAAGGGCGGGCTTGCAGTACTGGATATAGAGAACTAGTCTTTGTATACGTCTTTGCATTGTCTACCTGTGTGTGCCTGAGAGTGTGTGTCTGGCAGTGAGTATCTTTGTATATGTATGCATGTTTCTCTGAGCATGTGTATGTTTGTGTTACTGCCTGTGGCCTTTGGCATTAAGTTCATGGCGAAGCTATGTTTTATGACAGAGTGTAGAATGATTGCCTTCAGGGGGTGACAGGGTGAGTAAAGGAGTAACTGTGGCAGGGTAATTGTAAAAAGAGCAGGAGGGTGCCAGAGTGCGGAGAGTGGTGCCTGTGTGTTTAGAGGGAGAGATAGTGTGTATGGAGG